TATAGATCATTATAAATATTGTAACATTGTCTAATATTTATAAGAATTATATAAACTGAAGTGCAAAGTTAAAATTATTTGTTTAAAGTATATTAGAACTTTAGTCAGAATTAAAAATAAAATCTGAATTATTTTCGATATACAAAAAATTAAAAAAAAAAATTTGAAACAATGTTTTTTTTCCAAAATCAATTATTTTGTTAAGACAAGCAGAAAGTTCTTTGAATCAATTGAATCGGTTTTCTCAAAAACTGCCATTTTTTTAACATTTGACTGCGTATCTTTAAAATGGCTGGGCCTTCCTTCGCGAAAAACTAATAACCACTTCTCCCAGTCATTACTAATTGAATGTTTCTTAGATCATTCAAATCGGATGCTCCGTTCTCTCAAAAACTCAATTTCTATTTTCTGCACTCTTTGCTCTTTATCTCCGTAACTGCCTTTGCCAAAAACTAATCAGCACATCTCCTTATCAATAGGAATCGAATGTTTTTTGAAAAATGGTATCCATACATACATACACACACACACATCCATTTTTTCTAAAGTATGCCAAAATGTTCAGAAACCTTCAAAACGTCGAGAAATGTTAAAATTTTCAATTCCGATTTTCGACCCATTACAATAACTTACCCTACGGGAAGTTAAAAAATAAATAATATGTTTGCTATGCTATATTACTTTAAGAAAAGATAGCGAAAATAAAGAAGTCGATTGTGTATCTTGACTATGTTGTCTTAACACGAGTTAAAAATGCTTATTTTATTTATTTCTTAAAACAAACATATTATTATTAGCTTACATTACGATAAACTAGTAACAAGGTAAGAGAACGAGCTTAGTCGAGATTAAAATGTATACATTTTTATATACAACATTAAAGTTTACAATGATTATAATAATGTCTCTAATAAAAATGAGACTAAATTTTGCACTAAGCAAATTTGCATTAGTTTTTTAATATCTGTAAATAATAATACTTTAAACTGCATATCGGCTCAGAATTTTTGGCAAAAATGTTGACCAAAAATTTTGTTCGGACGATGTAAAACTTTCCTTACTGTAATGTTCGAAGAATTTTAAATGTATTCAAATAGATTAATATAAATACTTTTATTATTCGTGTTTTAAAGACAAAATATAAAATCCTATAAATTGGATAAACGACGTTTGTATATGTTTACATGAGAAGTAAATAAATAAAACTTAATTAAGCGGAGTTAGAACAAGTGACTTCATTTTATACTTCTAAAAATTATAGAAACTACAATGCAAAGTTCAACTTATTTATTCCAAGTATATAAGTGAACTTTAAAATGTTAGCCAGAATTAGTAAAATTGGGAAATAAAAACAAATCAAATCGGATGCTCCATTTTCTCAAAAACTATAGTTTCTAGCGCTTTTTCTTTGTATCTCCCATACGGGTGGACATGTCTTCTCCAAAAGCTAAGCAGCTCGTCTCCCTATCAATAGGAATCGAATGTTTTTTTAATCATTCGAATTGGATGCCCCTTTCTCGCTAAAACCCGTTAAAAATTACCGTTTTTTGCACTGTTTTATCAAAAATTATTCAGCAATGATGATCGTAACATAAACTATTTATTACTGAATCAGCATGTCTCCCTATCAATAGTAATCGAAAGTTTTTTTAATCATTCCCCCAAGTTGAGCGGTGCTCCCGAAAATGTCGACGCAAATTGGTATCCACTTCCTTTCTCGCTAAAAACCCGTTAGAAAAATCCCCTTTACTGCACTGTTTTATCAAAAGCTATTCAGCAATGATGATCGTATCATAAGCTATTTATTACTGAATCAGCATGTCCTCCTATCTATAGTAATCGAAATTTTTTTAATCATTCCCCCCAAGTTGAGCGGTGCTCCCGAAAACGTCGACGAAAATTGGTATCTACACAAAACACATATTACACACATACACACACACACATACATCAATTTTTGATAGGGTATGCCAAAATATTCAAAAAACTTTGATACGCAAAGATATGCAAAAACATTCATTTTAGAATTTGGACGATTATTATAGTTACACTGTAGTAATCGTTCATAAAACCAAACACACGGTCCAATCATACGTAGTTATTAATCTACGCGAAACCTTATCGAGTTTCTTGTAAATTTTTGAAATTGGTTATTTAAAACTACTTGCTATTGTTAAAACTTTGGTTCATAATCGGGTAATTCATAATTAACCCGATTTCCTGTATAATATATATATATATATATATATATATATATATATATATGTATAAATATTTAAAACTGAGTTATTATAAGTTAAATACAAATCTCTACATTTATGAGCGGCACGCCTATAAAAGAAAATGTCGTTACAAATATGACAAACTTAACCTACAAATATAGGTACACACACGGATATATATATATATATATATATATATATCTGTGTGTGAGTGCATTTACATTTATATTTGTAATTGTGCATATATTTCCTAATGTGTGTAGGTATTTCTTAACTTTTATTATCTCTTAATAAGATTTCGAATTGGGGTTATGCTGTTATCTTATTCGTTTGAGTTGTCATGTTGGTATTAATTTGTAGAAAGGAAAATCGAATCGAATCAAACGATAAACCGAATTAATTTTCACACGCCGAAAGGAATTGATTAGGAATTTTAGGAATCCGGATCACCTCGATTCATCCACTTTTCATTTCAAATATATAGTATCAGGCGAATTATCGAGTACATGTGAATAATTGAGGTTATGTTGTTTTGCTTGAAGAGGTTATGAGAGAAGTGAAGTTATATTATATGGGAATGGGAAAAAAAATTGTGTGATAAAATTTATGATAAAAATGATGGCATTTATTAACTAAAAAATAAGGTTATGACGTTAGTGTATCAAATGATTCAGATTGACTTGCAATGTCAAGATACATAAAATGACGGATCGGATTTTCTCCTTCGGAAAGGAAAAAATAGGGATTATTTGAAAAAGTGTTAAGATTTTATTGCGTTTGTTATATATGCGATTACTAATTAACGCAATTATAGTTTGCAATTTCGATGTGAAATGATTCAGAACAACGTGAAATTGAAACGTCAAGAAAATATAAATTTAGCAAATCGGAATTTTTGGCAAAAACGTAATTGTCTTCAAAAGGAAGTATTTCAAAGTCATAAATAAAATGTATAATATTTTGTCTTAAATTATATTGATTATTTACTCTTATCGGGAAGTCCTTGCAGCTTTCCTTACATCATTATAGCACTACACAGTTTAATGCTTTTGGTTCATTACTAATTTTAATTGAAAAGTATCAAAGTACAAAAGTCACAGGACGATATAACATCTAAACCAGTGATTCACAACCTTTTTGGGGCCCCGCCTCACCTTGAGGTTTTTAAAAACCTTATACCCCCTCCCCCCTCCATACAAAATTTTTTTGTTCCTGAAAAAATGTGAATGATAACTTTTAAGATGAAATCACTATTAAATTGTTATTGAACATTATAAGTAGAATTTCGGAATAAGCCCAAAAAAAGGAAATTCTAAACTAATTTTAGTACTGTTTTTTTTAAATGTATTTAATGCAATACTTAAGCTTGGTGCATGATGGTCTATGGTCAAGAATATTTGGTGGATGTGCAGAAAATTTTCAACCAGTCCCAATATTTTTCAAACAAAATTAAATTTAATTATGCCAAATTTAATGCAAAATTATTTCTTTTAGCCGAAACGATTATTGCTTTAATTAGGCTGCCCAAAACTTTAACTAACTAACAGAGCAGCATTGAGTAAAAAATCACCAGAATGATATTTTCCAAACCAATTTTAACATAACTGTTTTTTAAGGTTTCGACACCATAAACAGCACCTCTGACAGGATCGTTTTTCCCTTAGCAGAAATAAAAATGCAAAATATGACTAAAATGCTTGTTTCTGTATTCCATCTTTTAAAGAACGCAAAACGAAAACTACACAACCAATCAAAAATGTATTTTCTTAGAAATTAGTATAGTAATTGACAGATGAATACAATTAAAAAATGTATTTTACATGTAGACTACTTCAACAAACCTTATGATTCATTTGATGCAATCTAATAGTACAAGCCGCACTTAGTTGCCAACCATGTACTATTTAAGGATACAATAAAAATTGGTTTGTTTTGAATTAATTCCACCTTTAAACCGTGAGTAAAAAACTTACGTCATATTCTCGATTTTGCCGCTTTTAAAGCCTTGTTTGAAACTCTGTTCGTTTTAAATTTCGCAATTAACTTCAGCAGTAAATATCACTTTTCTGGTGCAAGTCGAGTCTTGTAACTGATCTAAAGCACTTGTGCCAAGCAGTCAGACACTTGATTTACCTAATTTTTTGGTAATTTTCATAAATTTGAATATATAAGTTTAATTTTTTTAGTGAAGGGCTATTTGAACCCTAAGTATTTTTGCATTCCGCAACATTCTCTTTCATAATGTATAGTTTTATATAAGCAGTTTATCGCATTTATCATAATTATAATGGGCAGTTGAAATTGTATTATAAAGTAATAAGAAAAATTCTAGTTCAAGCTAATCTTTTTAAAAAGTCCCGGGAGAAAACATAACTCCGGCACGAGGGAAGCAAGGTTGAATACTTTCCAAACCACGACACCGTAGTTAAATCTCAAAAGCATTTTGTTTAATTTTGTATCCATACTATAATACATTACATTCAAATCACCAAAATTTTCAAATTGTCCCCCGGTGGGGCGTGCGCCCAACGTTAGGAAACACTGCTCTAAACTGTTACAAGTTCACGTCCAAATTATTCTGGACGATGTTACTACAAATAATTTTCCAATGGCTTTCTCGGTATAACTACAAATAATTTTCTTTTGTTTGAACTGTGAGAAGATGAACTTGACCCTAGAAGCTCTAGGTGTGTCTGTCTGTCTCTCTGTCTTATATTATATCGAGAATAAGACAAGGTGTGTCTTGAGAAGAAGAAAAAGAAGAATGAACAACATAACCTTTATATGAATTAATATCCTTCTTCGGATCATCTCGTTCCATTTGGAATTTCATTACCATTGTCAATGACGACATGAAGATTATCGTCATCATTTTATTGTTTATTCACGATCAGGCTCTCTCAATTCCTCTTTTATCTTATAAGTTAATGAAATAATTTTCACAATCAGGATATGAGAGTGTGTTAAGACAAAAATAAATCAACAAAACCCTAATGCACCAACCGTTGTCTGTGAAAAAAATTGGTTAAGTTATATTCATTAGCATTAACAATGAAGGTTACGTTGTTACATAATTTTAGGAGTTTAATAAAGCAACAAGTTGAGGTTATGATATATTAGAAAATACTCATTCATTTTTGCTATTTTATCGATTTGTATGAAATGCGCGCTTCTTTTGATTATTAGCATATTAACAGTGAGTAGCAACAACTAAAAATTGCAAAAATATGCGAAATAAATTTGTAAATGTTGTTTTTAATGAAGCTTTACATATTACTCTATACAAAAATAATAAAGTATTGTTTGATTTTTTATGGTGAAACCACTTTACATAAGTTTATTATATTTTAGGGCACTTAAAAATATAGACCCAAAAATTAATTTCCTAAATTGAGAACTGCAATGTGTATAGGCAACATGTGAGCTGGTCTGCTTTAGGCCACACCTTTTATTATATTTTTTTTCGTGGCATACATTCATTTCATCAGTTCCAGATAAGTCGAAACTTGTTCATCACTAAAGTTTCTTTCCTCAAAGATCATTTCTTTGATCACTATGGAGTCATACTCCGAATGGTAGTACCATTATCACAGTCTATGACTCTGATCACTGTTGTTTGTGAGATCTCCTTTTTTAAAGTGCATAGATCTACTTCTTATAAAGCCTAGATTTGAATGTAGGACATAATATATTTTTCCCACAAGCCATAAAACAATTTCTTTGATTTTTTAACCACGTGATTTTTAATTTTTGATGTTTTATCCTACAAATGAAGGATTCTATGAGATTTTTACATGAGACTCAAGTAGAAATAATCTTACATATCAGTAGAATTTCTTTTCTAAGATTCCATATCTCTGAACTCTATATAGTCTCACACCAGTTTGTTCGTCAATAGAGTTTTTTTCCCTAGGTCCATGGTTCTGATCCGTACAGAGTCACACTTCTAATGTACCCGCCATCTTCCTCTTCAGCCTCAATTTGCTCGTCAGTTTTTTTTAACCTACAAGAGTGTATTACTCCTTGTCGGTTTAATCAAGTGTGCCTATACAAATAAGTACATGTTGAAGAGGGTATCTTTTCATGGATTTGCCATTGGTCAGACCATGCATAACTATAATTATTACCATACCATACTACAAAGATAATATTCATAATTTTTCATAGTTTCACTGACATAACCGTCTAGTACCCGTCAAGCACGCATACCAACATAACTACGAACCCACAGCAAACTTCACAATTGTAATTCTTCATGTCAAGACATAGTATGTATATCAAAACATACACGCGCACACACACACACACACACACATATATATATATATATATATATATATATATATATAAAATTATGTTTCCATAAATTACATGGAAAGAGAAAGCAATTTTAAAATCAGGAAATCGTGTATCGAACAAAAGTATTTAGAACAACAGTCAGTCGGTTTAATGGGCACCGGCGCGTTGTGTAATTAGACTCGTTTGCGAATAATTGCGAAGAAACGACGAAAGAATTCACTCTAAAGAATTCAATTTCTTGTGGCGGCATTCTTTTGTCGGAACAGAGCTAATAATGAATTTACGTTCAAACATTCTTCACAGTGTGACGAGCGCTTTAGAACACTTGCGGGATGAAGTTGGATTAGGTCAAACAGTCAAACTTCATTGAATTTCGAACAGGAATTGCCGTTTAATAATTTGTGGACAAATGAAACTAGTATATAGTGACGTTAAATGTATTTCAAAGTTTATTATAAAAATTCAACATATATTTATTCACGTTAACAAGAAATCTTTGTGATTTTTTTAACTTCCGAAGGAGAAGTTTTATGCTTTCATCAAAAATCCGATTCGCTAATTTTATGTTTTCTCGAGGTTTCAAGCCATTCTGAATCGAATGAGACAAATTTGGAAAATATGTGTGGTTGTGTGTGCATGTGCACGCACAGATTTTTTGCCGTAAATCGACGTTTCTTTGTAAATCGCAAAAAGTGAAAAATTTTTCGTCCACGTTTTAGCTCGCAATTCTGAATCGATTTTGAAAATTCAAAAAACCGTTCGATGATATTGGTTGGGAATCGTGCTGATTAGTTTTTGGTAAAGATCGTCCGGGCCGTTTTCTTGTAATAAAGTTTAAAAAAAAAACATTCGACGATTTTTATGATTTTTTGTTTGACGGTAGATATCATAGTCTTCTAGATCATACTAAAATATTACCGCCCTACGACAAGTCGTTTAGCTTTAAAAATTCGTCAAAGCTTGCAAAAATTGGTATTGTTTTTTTGGCATTTTACAAAATTAGACTTTTCATCGACGCTTGCTCAAAAACGCTTGAACCAATTTCAGAAATTTAAAAGCCATTCGATGTATCTCAATGAGCACTATAGTTTATCCGTTTTGTGATTTGAAAAAGAGTATGAAATTTTT